GTAGACTCATTCACTGGTTCTCCTACCTCTCCAGCATACTTTGAGACTCATTCACTGGTTCTCCTACCTCTCCAGCATACTTGGAGACTCATTCACTGGTTCTCCTACTTCTCCAGCATACTTGGAGACTCATTCACCGGTTCTCCTACCTCTCCAGCATACTTGGAGACCCATTCACTGCTTCTAATATATCTCCAGCATACTTGGAGATTCATTCACTGCTTCTAATATCTGTCCAGCATACTTGGAGACTCATTCACTGGTTCTCCTACCTCTCCAACATACTTAGAGACTCATTCACTGTTCTAATATCTCTCCAGCATACTTGGAGATTCATTTTCTGCTTCTAATATCTCTTCAGCATACTTGGAAACTCATACACTGCTTCTAATATCTCTCCAGCAATATAAAAGAATTATATATATATTGTTAGTCTTTGAATGGGAAACGGTTAGCTCCACGAATGAACTATTTTGGAAAGATGACGAGTCGAAACTTCACAAGGACAGCAGAGGACATCAGTGCATTAAAAGTATTATGACACTGTCAAAGCTTCCCTGGAAGTCCATGAAGAGAGCAGAAAAAGAAAAGTTTGACCATTGTCCTTTCTAATAATCTACTTCACTTCTCCCGATAGTCCAACAAAAGACAACTGTTCTAACCATTGCAGGTAAGTCTGTCCTTCATTATACCTCACAGACATGCACTACCACTAATGAAACACGTAGGAAACACGGAAGTTTATTAAAAATATATATATTTTGAGTGACACTCTTTGTGAATTTTAGTACCTTATGTATTTGGGGGATAATCTTATTTTACTGCTTCGCATATGCGTAAGAGGCGGGGAGTTAAGGGGGCAATTGCCCCAAATACTGGCCCCAATAGTTTTTCGGTTAAAGCTCCGTACATATCTATAAATTTTATATTTTCAAATTGATCATGCCCTTTTCAGAAAATATATTACCAATACGTGACATTTTCACTTGCACCTTTTTAACCCTTTAGCGCCGTATGGTTCCGCATGGAAGTGATTAGAACTATTTTTTTTCAAGCGACTTTAAACCTTATAGTACATGATTTTAAGGTCAATTTTAAAGTCAAAATCAAGCCCCTACGCCTATGAGTGCTTCGTAAGTACTGTCAACTCTATTACGTTTTCCCACTGAAAATATTTTTAAAAAGTATCCTTCTAGCTAATTTAAATCTGTGATAATTTTCCAACTGGTTTTCTATCGTATATCCTTTGACAGTTGAAGTAGTATTTTTCAAATCTTGTGACTTTACCTATGGCAGTGGCAGTAGTGCTTTAACACTAATAAAAGCCCCCCCCCCAGTGGCACAGCGGTATGTCTGCGGACTTACAAGGCTAGAAACCAGGTTTCGATACCCGTGGTGGGCAGAGCACACATATCCCATTGTGTAGCTTTGTGCTTCAAACAAAACAAACACTAATAAATTGTCTTGTGACTTTACCTCTGGTAGTGGCAATGAGACTTTTAACACTAATAAAAAGAAACGTTCAAACCTGAAATCTCTCTTCATTCGTTGCGTTCTTGGAAACTTCTAATCAGAGAAATTAATCACTGAGATACCCGTGACAGTACAGAATAAAACGGAGATGACAGGATTGACTTCCAATTCCATGTATCTATATAGGTGTGTATGTAAGGATTAAGAGAACCGAAACTAACCGTACATGCTACGTCATCATCAAACGAATCATTAGACTTAACGACTGTTTCATAAACGTTGATGTTTAGTTACGAAATGTGCGTGTAATTGTTTGTTTGTTTTACCAACGAATAGGAATATTATAACGCATTATAACGCCCCCACGGCTGAAAGAGTGAGCATGTTTGATGTGACCAGTAAGTTCTCCGGCCGTCGTTAGGTGTTATATCAGACATTTTTTTATGCCTCACAGCCAAAAACCTTTTTGTGGAATTCCCAGGATTCGAACCTGTGATCCTGAACACGGACACTCTGATCACTTGGCTGTCAGGTGTACACTTTTCTGATGTTTTGAAAGTACCTCAGTTTTTTTTTTATCTCTAGTATTTTTGTCCCAATTTTTTCATAGTACTGGGAGCCATATCGCGCTTATGTCTACACTTGGCTTATTGTTGGGATTGGTATTCAATGCTAAGTGTGTCGCTTCCTTGATCTTCCTTATTTTTCCAATGTGGCTCCTTAGCGATGATAATGACTTCGTCCCATGATGGCCTGTGTTCTCCATCAGACTATACATGTTCTGCTATGCCAGACTTGTCGATCTCGCCCCGGATGGTTGCCTTCCTATGCTCTTCCAATCTGACAGACGGAGGACGCGACCTGTTTCTCATTTGTATGATCTACCACAACAGACTGAAAAATTGATACCATTAGTGCAAGATTGTGGTTAAAAGCATCCTAAAATGTGTAAAATATGCGCTAAATAGGATAGGTTAGTAAATTTCTGAAACTATTTACATATTATCTTATACCTATATGAATAATTTTTATTATATTTATAAATCGTTGTCGCAAATCAGACATCACGTTACATTTCCAGCCTGCTCTTTGAACGCATGACGTCACAGTAGAGTGTACAAGACCTACTAATTTTAAATCGTCATAACATTGACAGTATTACTATTAGAATTATTAGTATTAGAAGCTATACAAGGTTTTAGGAGAATCAAATACAGCATCTAGCTTATCGCGGCCGGCGAACTTTCTTCACGGATACTAAACAGTTGGTAATTTTCTGCTTTAAATGTATTTTATCTTTATTATACTGTAAATATAATACTGGCACTACAGCGAGTGTAACAGTGACTCGGTGTGAGACTGAGAGTTAGTCCTAACAGTAACAAATGTAATAATTCATTGTACATGAAAAATACGGGCTATAACCTGGGACACGTTCATTCATTTTTTTATTTCTACTAAAGTGTTTATTACATCTGTCTTCATGAGAGTCAAAGTTACAATAGTTAATTTTTTCTCTGCTGTTTTACTGTTACTAGTGTTTGTTGCACTTTACTAAATCATGAGTAAATATGATGAAACCAAGTTGAACGGATGGCAACTGATAAAAACACAAGTTTCATCATGAATACTCTGCCTAAACAATCTATCAAAGAAGGAGTAAATGTCTTTTGTTTTGGTTGAGCAAGCTAATAAATACCTTTTGTTATATTTAAGTTTCTTGAATGAGATACATAAAGTGTGTGTCCCTCATACTTTTGTGTAAACCCAACTAACTTTGCTTTCCAGTAAGGTTAATGAATACTTTTAAGTTACTCCAGACCAGATTTTTCAAGATTAGTAATCAAGAATTTTGACCATTCCGAACTGAATATCAGCTGCCCATAAGGGTTTTTCATGAACTTCCAAATCTAGAGTAACTTGATGGTAGTAAAAAGGTATGCTATAAACTGTTGGGCTGTGGGAGGCATAATAAATGGGGGCTAAATTAAGAAGTTGGATACCAATGGCAACATAAGACTTATTTAGAGATAATTAAGTTTTTACTTGTAAGCACCCATACACTTTAAGAGAAAATTTGTTTAATATAATAGACAAACAAATATTATTAACACTTAGTGAAATAAAATAATAATAGTTTGATAAATGAATATTGTGGTTTGTCCGAGTCAAAGGTATTTCTAGGGCCACAGGAAAGTTTCAGTGGGGGCCATAGCAGATCCACAGAATTATTTAACAAAAAAAAAGTTGCATGTTAAACATTGTTGTAATGGTTATGTTGAGGAAACATTTTACAATCTGTCATCATGGAAAGTTTTCACAATATTTGAAAAATTATATTTTATTAGGAGTTGAATTATTTTTTCTCAATTTCCCAGTTATGATTTCCAGGAAAACTCTCGATATAGAGAACAGCATGTATAAACTCTTGTGTTGTCTGTTGTTGAGCACGATGAAGTATCTGATGTTGGATAAGTAGCGTTGACATTCAATTCTGAAACAATCACAGTCTTGTATTGTTATCTAGATCAATATATCACAAAAGTCTATGCATCTACTTATAACTGCCAAACTGCTTGTCACCAAACACTTATCCCCATGATGACACTGTTCAGTTTGATAATGTTTTTAGTTTTTTGCAGGCCATGGGCCTATTTACTTATATTTAATTTTTTTACTTGATTTTGAGCTTTGTTTCATTTTTAACTTGACTTATTTTACTTTTTATAATATTTTACTTTTTTTATATCGGTTGTTTGGTGAAGGTAGCCTAGTTGGTTTGCACCAATAAATGCCAAACAACCAATCAAATACTTATACCCCCCTCCTTCCCGGAAAGGTATAGGGGTTGACATTCTGATATAATTCTCTTTTGTTACACTTGGGGGCCTCCATTTTTTCTTATTTGTTAAATGTGTATGTGAACTAGTGGTATATATGAGACAAATTGTATTTCAAAAACAAAGGTTTTGTTTTATGAGTGTGTTTCTTTCTTCAAATGAACAAAACCTCCTGATATTCAGCAACTGTTCTTTCAGTAGATAGAGTAACTCTTTAGTTACGTGACCATTAATGTTCTATAGTTTCTTTGTTTTGTAACATTCCTAGATATTTTATTGTTCGGTAAACACCCTAGATCTTCAATATTAGATCCAGTTAATTTTGAGATTTGTTGCATATTCTTGTAGTCTTGATCATGCTCGTGTTTTGAGTTATGTTGCATTTGGTTGGTAGAAGCTTCTTTCCCTTTGCTAACATATTTCATTAAGACTACACAATTTGCATTTCGATTCAAAATTTCCAACTGCTTGAAAGCAGTCCTACAGAAAACTCTTTTTATATCTTAAATTACTCATGATAATAAATAAACAGAGGTTATCATTGCATCACTAAATCTTCATGCTAAAGCCACCAGAGGTCAGTGTGAATGACAGGCCCATACATGTTTTCTATACTGACTGTTGCTAAGACAATACCTAACATTTTGCTACTTGCATATATTGCAGGGCATACTAGATTTTGAAACTTGAAGAAACATTGGACATGGCTAGACTGTAGATAAAGTTATTTCCTCTGAAGATAAATATTGTAGGTAAACACAAGATAGGACCAATTACAATATGAGTATTCACCTTGAATGTTCATATAAACATTTACTACAGTATTGTTAGTTCATCATTCTTAGTCTGTAATTTTTTTTTCAAAATTTTGTAATTAGTTGTGTATCCCATAATTTCCAGTATCTTCTGAACTTAATGAATAGTTTATTACACTATATCGGGTAGCTGGTGGCTAAATGTCCAGATACCTGCCCAAAATATTTCATATTCTCTAGGCTATATATATATATTACATGCTTAGTAATTATTGACAAGTTAAGAGGTAATTTATATTTTTTGTATAAAATACTGATTAGGCATCACTTGGAATATTGTGTGCATTTTGGTTTTATTATTTAAAGAGTTTTGTTCATTTAATGGAAAGGATTCTGAGGAGGATTACATAAATGATAACAGGGTTTGAGAGGTTATCTTTTGCAAAAAGAAGGTTAAGGGGTGACCTTAATTTACAATATTATCCAGGGGTTTGTGTAATACAGTAAAGGCCTGTGATTCCTGAAGACAATGGGGTGTGAGAAAAAAGAAGTTTAAGATTTCAAAAACACAGATTAGGTTCCAGTTAAGACATTTACAGTTTTTAAGAGGATGATTAGCTTATGCAATTATATATTTATTTTTTTTGGAAATTCTGATAAAAGATGCTTTGAAAAGTCATTTAACAAAGTTTAGAATGTTATTGAATAGTCAACATGGTTTCACTAAGGGAAAATCTTGTCTTGCAAATCTTTTAACATTTTTTGAAAATGTTTCTGCTCTTGTAGATGAGGGTAAGTGTGTAGATTTCGTGTATCTGGGTTTTCAGAAAGCATTTGACAAGGTGCCACGTAAAAGGCTTGTAAAAAATATATCTATTGGTGTAGGGGATAAATTAGCAAATTGGATAGAAGAGTGGCTGGATGGAAGAAAGCAGAGGGTTTTTGCAGATGGAGCTCAGTCAAACTGGATTAATGTCACAAGTGGGGTACCTCAGGGCTCAGTCTTAGGACCCTTACTCTTTTTGATTTACATCAGTGACATAGATGAAGGAATGGTCAATAAATTACTTAAATTTGTTGATGATATAAAGGTCTTCGGTGTTGCTAGCTGTGAAGAGGATGCTGCTGATTTACAAAAGGATTTAGATCATTTAGTGAGTTGGGCAAATAAATGGCAAATGGGTTTTAATTATAATAAATGCAAGATAATTCATGTGGCTTATCATAATTTGAATTATAAGTATAATTTGGATGGGAATAACCTTAACAGTATCATAAAAGAAAGGGATCTTAGTGTAATAGTCGATCAGTCTCTATAGCCATCCAAGCAGTGTGCTGTTGCTAGTGGTAAGGAAAATAGGATTTTAGGTTATATCTACAGAAA